ATGGTTTCAATCTTATAAAAAAAAAAATGCAGCTTTAAAAATTTATTTTCTTATAGTTTTCAGTTTATATTATATAAAATTCTTTCACATTGTTTATCAATTAAAAATATTTTTTTTCAGTTTACTCTGTTGGAAAAAAAAATGCATGCCCAAAGATTATCTATTAGCATGTCTTCAATTATTTTTATAAACGACAAATTTCTCTTATTCTGACAATAAGAGCTAATAATTTTTTGAAATATAGACAAAAAAAAAATAGTATAAGAGGGTAACTTTTAACGATGTTAAATGAGTGCCTTTTTTTGAGCGCTCTTTTTAATTCCTAGGAAGAACTCAGGGTAGAACCCCAATTACGCGAACGAACTTGGATGTGGGGAAGTGTTATCAGGGGCCAAATCAAAATTAACAGTAATCTGGGACCATCAATAAATAATATTGGTCTCCCCGGACCAGAAATCAAAGTTATGATCTTTCGGGTTTGCTTTATGTTTCTAGTTTTGGTCTGTTATAAAATAGCATATATAGTTATCTGACAAGCAGCATGTATCTGGATGATCAGATCAATCTCCCAGACATTGGATAGCAGCCTGATACAGTAGATAGCCGATTATCCAGAACAATCGGGACCATCGCAATTCCGGATAACTGATTTTTCCGGTTTTCTGAATCGCTAAAAAACACCGTTTTTTTTTTCCTTGTCAAACCCAACTAAAAAAATAATTATTTAGAAATAATTTTAAAAAGAAGGAAAAACGATAAAGTAATACACATAAGTTTAATAAGAGAAAAAGGAGAAAAAAAATAATGAAATAAAAATATATACAGGCTTAATATAAAATGAACAAAAACGGTAAAATGGAAAAAAAAAGGGTGGGTGGGCTCCATCTTCCTCGTCGCTTTCTTCTACCTCGTCGTTGTCTGCGTCAGGACTCAAAACGACACCAACTCCATTTTTTACTTCACTATAAACATATGAAAAAGGAAAAATAACGAGCATTTCTTTTCCCTCCTATACACGAGAAAGACAATCTTTGAATATAATTCTGGATGGAAAAAAAATTCTAGAGAAAAGAAAAACAAAATTATTTTAACTTCATTATTCTCAAATGAGAAGAGAAAAATCGCGAGCGTTTCTTTTCCCTCCTATGAGCGAGAGAGACATCCTTTAATATAATTCTGGATGAAGAAAAAAAAAGAATCCTTTGAAAACTTCTGGAGAAAAGAAAAATACAATTTTTTAACTTCATTATTCTCAAATGAAAAGAGAAAATAGCGAGCATTTCTTTTACCTCCTCCTATTTCATAGAAAAACATTGTTTGAATATAATTCTGGATGAAAAAAAAAATCTTTGGAAAATTTCTGCAGAAAAGAAATTTAAAATTTTTTACTTCCCAAAGGAAAAATGTTTTTGGAAAAAACTCTCTAACGTTCTTCGACATTATCGCAGTGATTCTGGCACACGATTACTATCTAGAAAAGTTTAACTTGGGTTTCAGCATTTTGCTAAAACATTAATTTAAATCAGTAGGAAAAACACATGTATCACAATCTTATTCCTCACTAAGCTGAGTGATTTTATTTCTCCAGTTAAACCTGGGTTTGAAAAAACCCGGGGAAAATTGGGTTTTATTGAAAAAACCCGGGGAAAATTGGGTTTTATTTGAAAAAACCTGGGGAAAATTGGGGTTTTTTCATTTAGTGCTCATAAACTACTTACTGTGAAAATATTTTCATGTATTAAAAAGTGATGTATAAGCTTAAAAATAGAAATAAATCCAAAAAAGTTTATATAAAATATATGTATTATAATTAAAATAAGTTTAAAGAATGCACTATCTCTAATACATGTTTGAATCTTTATTCCTAAATGCATAACGTTTCACAATTTTCAACTGGACCACTATAAAATATAAATGTAACAGTAATATAAAAGGAACAAGTTTATTAATCTTTTAGTTTTCATTTGTTGTTTATGTATATATATATACAGGGTGCGTAGTGTTTTTAAAAAGTGCTTAAAGGTGCTTATTTTCGATTTTCGTTTTTTAAAAGCCCTTAAAGGTGCTTTTTTCATTTAGTGTTTTTAAAAAGTGCTTAATTTTCCCTTTTTAAAACTGAGATTTTTCCTTTACTATGTTGATTTTCGCTTTGAATTATGCATAAAGACACAGTTCACATTGTTCTATTCAACGTTTTCACAATTAATTTAACCCCAATCTATTTCTGTGCATTGTCAGTCCGTAGCGTATGAAAACGCCATTCATTTCGCATGATTCAAAATTTCATGATTATGACGATTAAAACGTCATCAATCGTCAAAAACTTTCCAACCCTGCCTACTTATGATATTTTTCAAAGTGCTTAAAAATATTTTTTTAGTGCTTGAAAAGTGCTTAAAAGGTGCTTATTTTTTGTTGATTAATTTGGCTACGCACCCTGTAATTAGTAAATTTAATTCTATTGACTGTATCCCTTCATAATTGTATGTAATGTTTTAATGCAGTGCACAGAAGAGAGAGTTTTCAATACCATCAGCCACTTCGAAAACTATATCACCATAAGCATAAAAAATCATATAGCAGGAAAAGTATTGATGAATCTGCATCTCATATGTCGAAAGTCCCAGAGGAACAAGCATTGGAGTTGTCCAAAGAAAAAGAAAAGGCACAGGACGCTGCTGTCTTGCTTGATGGGGTGACAGATAATTCTCTTCAAGCAAACCAAGTATGCTTTGTATTTCATGGATTAAAATGTTTTGTTTTTATTTTTTGCTGCGGAAAAAGTATATAATTTCTCACCACTTGTTTATAATAAGTTTACATAAAGTGTCCTTGTTAGAAAAATTTTCCTTGAATCTTGCTACTAAACGGCGTTTGAATACCTTTTGGTGCAAATAACGCCCAAAAAGATATCATTAAGATAAAATATATTCAATGTTTTTTTTTCTCTCAATAAATCATGATTCATAATTATGATTCATCATGATTCAGAAATCAGTTAATAATTATGTGAATCATTAATGTGAATCATGGTGCATAATTATTAACTGAACTAGTTTTGATGTACAATTCTGAATTCTAATCTTGATGTGAAATTTATAAATTGTATGAATATAAATTGTATGCAATTACAAGTAGTTCACAAATTAGACAAAAACAAATTATGCTGTGGTACTTAAATTCAAAAATGGAAATTATAGTGTAGTAATGAAAATCAGCTTTTTAAGAAAACAATACACTACTGGTATTGATTCAATTTGTAATACAAAGTTGGAGAAGCAAAGGTTTTAAAACCTTACCTATTGGTATTATATTCGAACTTTTGTTTTAATAGGTTTGGCTTTTAGTTTCCTCTTCTGATCTAATTATTCTTGAAAATATGTGAATTACAGACCAATTTAATATGTTTCAAGTTAATGTCTCCACCTACTGTCATGCATTTCTTTTCAGTATTCTGCTTCTGTCAAATCCCGCAATAGTGGTCCCAGCAATAAGTTCAGTATAAACAGTGATTCATTACATCCAAAATCTATGAAAAAATATTTTTTAGCATATTGCACTAGTATTGTTAGAAATAGTGACTGCAATAACACATAATTTGCTTTATCAATTATTAACTGGCTAAATATGTCTCAATAATAGTAACAATAGTTGCATTGCAGTGAAATACTTCTTATAATGAAATTTTTAATCAGAATATCAAATGACATACAAAATATTCTCCATACAAAGAAGTAGTTGTCTATTTTTTCAAATTTTGCTAGTTTTTAGAATTTTTTTAGATGTTTATCTTTTTTCCCCATCAGTTTAAAAAAAAAATGCTGCAATTAAAGTTAGCATTTATGNGGGAATTTAAGTACTTGGGTTCAGTTGTCACTGAAAGCAATGATATTATGCCAGAGATTAAGCAAAGACTAAATGCTAGAAATCGCAGTTATTTTGCACTTAAGAGATTGCTAACATCAAAAGTAATAACGAGGCTTCAGGTTTATAAAACTATAATCAGACCAACCTTTATCTATGGATCAGAGACATGGACTCCAACCCAGAAACAAGAAAAAATGCTGATTACCTGGGAAAGAAAAATTCTCAGAACTATTGTTGGACCGGTCAAAGAGGGTGATCTGTGGTGAAGGCGATACAATTTTGAAATTGCAAGACCATTTAAAGAAAAAGGTATAATAAATTACGTAAAAGCAAAGAGAAGTCAATGGCTAGGACACCTTGAAAGAATGGAGGAAAACAGAGGCATTAAGAAAATATTCAAGGGGCAGTGCCAGAGGAAAAGAGGAAGAGCGGCCAAGAGATGGTTACGAGGTAGAAAAAGACCTTAAGACTCTAAAAGTCCAAAACTGGAAACAAAGAGCTGAAGACAGGCAACTTAGAAGGAAAATTGTTAGTGAGACCATGGTCTAACGTGGACTGCAATGCCAGGGTTATTGCAAAAGGATCTTTTACTTATTAACTTTTTCTCTTTTTATTATTTTAATTGATTTCTTTTGAAAAATCAATAAATGTAGGAATATCAGTGGATAAATGTACTAAGAGATAGTCCGAGTATTTCTGAAGTGGAAAAAGGCTCTAATTGAATTCAGAAAAAACTATTTTCTTTTCATTAAAAAAAAAATTTTTTTTTTAAAGGAAAAAACTAGGACACTTACGAAGATGATTGTTTAATCAAATGTGCTTTCTTTACAAATATGTTCTCCAGTGAAAAAAAAATTAAAGCTTTTGGTTTGAAATAAAGGTGAGGCACTTCTTTTTTTTTCACTTTAAATACTTCTTTTTTTTTAAAAAAAAACTTTTCTTTTACAAAGATAAGTTGTTTTTTTACATACATTTAGAATAAATATATATTTTTTTTAAAATTTAAAATATTAAAAGAGTAACAACTTAACAAATTTAATATATTAGGAGGATTTGCTTCATTTGTGGACGAAATATATAACAACTAAAATTGGGAATAGTACTTATAACTATCTCTTAAGTTTTCGTTTTAAAAATTTTACTATAAATATTGAGATTTATAACTTATTAAATGGTAAGATTATGTTAGTCCAAGTATTTTTGGAGTGAAAAAAGTTTTAATTGAATTCAGAAAAAAACTTTCTTTTAAATATATATATATATATATATATTCTCAATTTTTCGAATGATAATAATAACTGGGACACTTACGAGGTTGATTGTTTAATTAAAGATGACATAAAATGTGCTTTCTTTACAAATATGCTCTCCAGAAAAACAATGAAAGCTTTAGGTTTGAAATAAAGCTTTCTTCCCCTGTTAAATTAATACTTCTTTAAAAAAAACTTTTCCTTTAAAAAAAAAAACTTTTCATTTTCTAAGTCAGAGAAAAAGTGGAATTCTGCATATTTGTGGAAAACTTAAAAATCCCGTTTCTAGTTTTTAGAGATAGGAGAACAATACAAAAAAAAAACAATTTTAAGTTAAACAAATAATCAAAGAATTTGATATCTTGATGATTCACATAGTGATACATTTGATATCCTGATGATGACCCTTCAGGATATCAAGTCACATTTGATGAATCTCTCTTCCTTGAGATAGATTTTCACTAAAATGTGTGATAAAACTTGCAATGTATTATTTTGTGAATGCGAGACAGTTCACTAGGCAGAAAGTTGACAAAATTTTATGGAAATGCAATGAATCATATTGTTCAGTTAAAAAATGGTGCAAAATGGTACATGCTTGAAAATGGTGTGTCATGTAGATGGAAGAAAAAATGGAATAAAATTAGAAGTTATGAAACTGATTGCTCTAGTCATAAATCAATTGCAACTTATGAGCTCTCATCAATATCATATAAAATCAGGATAAATGTTTCGATTAAAATAATATTGCTAAATAAACTTTATTTAATACAGTAGATTAAAAAACTTTTTTTGATATTATAATTATACTTAAACAAAATGCACTGGAACACATAAATTATGTTGAATGAAAATCCTCACTTCAGTTTTACAATCTGCAAAAATAACATCTTATTCACAGAAAAAAATATCTGATCTGATTCATTTTAAACAGTCATGTGCAAGTTCTGTTTAGTGAATTCTACTAGTGTGGCAGTAAAATACTAACTATAAATGAAAACTTACCAGGTTTATAACACTATAGATCTGGCCGATTCATGGATTTTTTATAGCATAAATGGATGTCTGAACCAAGCTATTAAAAAAGAAGAATTGTATTATTTTGTATTAGTTTAAGGATAAAAAATTACACTTTACGAAATAATATCTACACACAAATATGAGAGTTAGTTTATTGAAAGAAATCTAAATTCAAAAGAGAAAAAATGTTTCTTAGCATCAAATCTTCAATACTTCAAAAGTACTTTTATATATAAATACCATATATGTTTAAGCATTTAAACATTAAGCATTAAATATAAAAAATCATATTTTCAGTCTAAATCAAAAGAGATTTTCAATAATAAAAAATCTGTCTAAATAACTTAAATAATAACTACTACATACAATAGAGAACGAAATTATCCGGGATGTTCGTAACCATCGCTATTCAGGATATCTGAATTTCCCGGTTTTCTGGATTGACCAAAAAGTGTCGTTAATCTATGTTTTATTGAACCCAAAGACAAGGAAAAAGTGTAACACATTTTGAAGTAAGAGAAAAAAAAGCTGTCCTTAATTTTTATTATTCATTTCTTTTTGTGATCAATTTTTAACTGTTTTATGTTTTTTTTTCTTCAATGGTGTGCAGTTAGACAGTCACAGTGAAAATGCAACACTTTTGATTTTAGAATCGGAGGAATAGTTTTAGAATAAGCATTCAAAATGACCTATGAATAATAAATAAATATCAGATATCATTCTCTAAAGCTTAGCCTTCAGTCTAAAAACCAGTAGTAAGCTGCAAGATTACTTATGACTACACCTAATGATTAAAATAAAGAAATCATTTGAATAATACAAAGGTAAAAATTTTTCGAAGAGGTAATTTACATTATTTAAATATTTTTCAAACATGACTCTAATGGTTTAAAGTCAAGTTTGAAAAATATTTAAATAATGTATATTAGTATTTTTTAAACATGACTTTAATGACTGCATGTAAGATTTCAGCCAGAATTTTATTTTAGAAGAGAAGTATATCTGATGAATTATGAGGAAAAAAACGTGGTTAATTCCTGGCATAAACAGTACTGTAGAATTACGGTATTTTGCCAGCATCATTATTTATGGAGGTACAACTTTTTATTTATTGGCAAAAGTTTAATTTTAAACTTTAAAAACTTTCTTTAAGCTTTAATAACCTACTTTTTTCTGTCAAACAGTCTTAGCCTTTTAATTTATTTAAAAAGCTATATTTTATTATAGTGTAACACCTTATCTGGACTTGATAACTGCCTGGATTCGGTGAGAAAGTTGGTTTGTCCAGAAGGTTTTGCACTTTCTTCATGGAGAGTTTCCACCAAATTTCAGGAGAGTTTCCACCAAAATTCATGGAGAGTTTCCACCATTGTTCAAAAAATGACTGAAGTTTTATACACCACTGCTTTTCGGCTTCAATTCGTTTATCTATGGTTTTAAATGTCCTTTGAATAGTTGCCTGCATCTTTAAAAACTTCACTTTCATTAAATATCTGAAAGTAAATAAGAAAGATCATGTGTTGATCAATTGGGTTACGTCAATTTCTTTTTAATCAGTTGTGTTGCTTTTAAAATTCTAATCAGTACTAAAAAGATATCATTCTGACTCTTTACTTCCTTTTTTAATTTCTACTATTAGTTCTCCCTATATCTTGTTCAAATTTTCAATCGTTAATGAAATACACTCAAGTTCAAATACCTTTTTTTAAACTTCTAGTGGATGACACTTGAAGTTAATACAGTTTTTTCAAATATTAATTCATTCATTAAATTTAATTAATTAATTTCAGTTTTATGCGTGAGAAAATTTTTTAATTATTTAAAAAAAGGCAACTAAAATAAAAAAATTTCTTTGTTGACCAAGTAGCAATTGACTTTGAAATTTTTTTTCTTCTTTATATTAAGTACTTGTTTTAGTGAAACCTATTCTTTATAGAGCTATTAATTTTTATATTGTTTCATTTTTATATTTCTGCAATAAATACATAATTTTTACATTTAAAATATTTTCATATTTATTATGAAATCATTTATTTTCAAGCTCATTACTTCTTTAATATTTTTTACACAATTTGTAGTCATTAATCAATATTTTATGTTTGCATCTATCATTGGCTTAGCACAGCCCTGTGCAAAACGATCAATCGAGGTTATGCCGCGTTTGCGTCGAAAAAATATTCCAAACAAGCATTCGAAATAATTTTTAAATACGAAAATAAACAAATATTTTTAAATATTCATAAAATGTGTCATGAGATCAATTAAGTATGCTTGCAATTCAAAAATTTATTAGGTTTGCGCAATGAAGTTTTGGTTTCAAAAGAAAATTATACTTTATTTAAGAAAAAATATTTTTTAGAAAATAAAT